CATCCGGTAAGGCAGATTCTAGAAAAGCGCTTCTTCCGACAAAAGCTTATCAAGCAGTGAATTCTTCCCTTATAGTTCCTTATAGCAGGACATAAATCCTTCTGTAAGAGGGGCAAGCCTAAACCCTCTTAACTCTAACTGCGCATTCTCTACTCGTTTCTATCTTTGCTATTTTATTCAGTTGAATGTCGGAAATCGGTGCTGTTGACTCAGCTGTGAGGTTAGGGATTGGACAAATCCGGTCTTTGCGACGTGAAGAAGAATGTCTTGTTATAGTGAATCCGATCAATAGTTCAGATCGCCTAGTAAAGGAATAGGACAAGGAACTTCTGCCCATGAATGAGATTAGTGCCCCTTCTGTTCGTAGTCCATCCGTCTCATCTCGTTTGCAAGACTAGGTTCTTAGGATATCCGAAAATGACATTTTGGACAAAAAGACAATCTTTCTATTGTTTTGCGACGGATAGGTTCTTTTCAGGCCAAATAGCGTATAAAATATAAGAAAGGATGGAGAGTGTTAGTTAGTCTTTCTCTTTTAGTTTTGCCATCCGATTCTATGAAGCCCATCTCTTAAAAGAGACGATTGGAGGGAAAGAAGACTTCCTTACTGATTCATATTAGTACCTCTTGAGGGAGACGCTTGGCGCACTTGAAACCACCTCTGACTCTGAATTTCAAATAGCAGCTTAGCTTGGGGGGATACCGGTGGGACAATGCACCTTTATTCCTTAAAGAATGAATGAAACCAACGCCCTACGGACTTCCCTTCCCAAGCCTGTCTCCGTGGTCGAAGAAGACTAATGATGATTGGCGTCAAGCCAAGCTTGAAGAATATGGGTTGCAAACAAGAAGGGGTGGCGGGCAGGGTAAGAAGAACTATAATATAAGAAAGGTTCGTCATACTGGTCGATGTAGATCTTACGTGAGCCTATGGATTGCCTGATCACGAGATCCTTTCGATGAGTTCAGAAAGCACACGTCTTGAGGGAAATCTCCAACCAAGCTATCCCTATCTCTTGAATTGAAGTTGGACCCCCCTCGCTTCTGCCAAGCATCGCTGCTTCCGAATTGCGCGAATAAATGATGACCGCCGGGGGAATAAAGATGTAGCTATCTTTCTTTCACTCATCGAGCGAAAAAGCCGCCACTTCCATCGAGGGGGAAATGCATGCTCCTGCTTACACATTAGGCCGGGCGAGTGTCGAATCCTGGTTCGATAGCCCAGCACAGCACCTCCTGAGTCTATCAACTCGAGCCGTGGCACTTATTCTCATCTCTCAGCCCCTGCTTCTCCGGTGGGCAAAAATGCCCAAATTCTTCCTTTAGGGCAGCAGACCCCTCCTCCTTCAATAGCTTCATCAGGCCAGCTAGCCCAGGTTGCTTCACCATTGGAGTTTCACACCACTTCCATAACCCTTAAACCAAGGGACTCCTCCCATCCAGGTCAAGCCGTGTCCAGAGGCACAAATCAACCTATCACCTCTGGTAATTGAGCCTCCAGTTCCTCCTATCCCAGTTCCAGTAGCTCCCCTAGGATTACCTATCATAGCAAATGCTAACCAGTTGCCTAGGACAATCCTTAGGTCAGGTAGGGTACTCCCATCCTGAGCACACGGCACAACGAGAACAACAAGAAAGAGAGAGAGCCATAAGACCAGACGCCAACAACTTATGACTTGTTAGGACAGCTCAATAGGACTCAAGCCTCCATATCCATCCTAGAGCTCCTACAAGCCTCTCCTAAGCACCAGGAAGTTTTCAAGAAGTTCTTGGCCGATGCCCGGGTACCTGTAGAAAGCACCCCTACTGACCTAGAGAATGTGGTAGGAATTATCACTGCACCGATGGCCATATCCTTCTCAGATGATGACCTACCCAATGGTAAGCTATCTCCCCGCCCTGAACTGAACTCTTCTTATCGGCAATCGTTCTATCTCTAGAGTTCAAAAAACCCTCAATATCTGCCCTCTATCCACGCTGCGCGCCCTTGACATTTCTGAGGACTCTCTGGCTCCTTCTCCCGTGTACATTACATCACCGCTTATGATAACTCGAGAAGGCCAGCAAGAGGCAGGCTGATTGCCGATGTCCAAGTAGGCCCTTTGATCCTCAGTACCACCTTCCATTCAAATAGAAAACCTCACTTCAAAAAAGTGACTCCTTGGAAGGCCTTGGTTGCATGAGGCCGGATCCTCCACATACCATCAATGTTTAAAGTTTCCGTTCTGAGGTTCTCTTGTTAAGGTCTCTGCCGAAGTTCAACCGGCATTGACCGCAGATTTCGAGAACGTGAGCTTCATGCCATCTATAGAAGTAGGAGGTCAGTTCGTGCCACTAGAGAGTATGGGGATGGCTCCTTCCACCCATGTTTCGGTCCTAGACATCAATACTCCTTGGTCTCGCCCGTCATACCGTTATCACCCGAAGAAAAGAAGACCCGAAGGCTCTTGCCTTGTGTCTTAAGCTTAGCAGGAAAAGATCTAAACCGCGGGTAGATGGGTATCAACCCAGCAGGGAAGCATGGAAAATCATGCTCCAACTAGGGTACCAGCCTAGGAAAGTTTTAGGCAGAGAAAGCCAGGGCCCCCCAATCAAACCGATGCTGACCGTAGGATCAATCAGGTGGACTAGGTCTTTCTGAAGAAGAAAGGATATAACTTTGGGAGGAAAAGAGAAAGCGAAAGAAAGTATGGGGATGAAGAAGAGACCCCCTTACTTGGGATTACAAAGAACATTTTGTTAAGGCCGTGGAACCCCTTAGGAAAGATTTAGCAGAAGAAAATTTTTATGGCATCTTAAAAGGGTCACCCAACGGTGTTTGGTAATCTCAATTGAGGAGCTCTTCTCCTACCCCAAATGTGAGAGGCTTAGACCTAGGAAATGGTCAAGACCTGCTTCGGCGTCGAGCGCCGACCAGGATGACTGTATGGCCGCTGAGTTCTTTAGGTTGGCTCTAGAGGATGAGGAATAAAAACCTTCCCCCGGTCGATCCGTTTTGTGATGTGATGGATCTTTCTCGTTTGTGTTTGGTGATGTGATCTCTACCAGTGATGCTGCTTGCTGTGATGATAGACCTTCTTTTGGTCTAATTGGAGGGTGCTCATCCCCTCCCTCTCTTTTGAAGGACAATGGACCTGCCTCTTGTCCTCTTGCTTTGTCACCTGATGAACCCACGGAGGGTTCCTTTTCTACTCCCTTGATGGATGCCGGACCTAGGCAAGGGCTTTAGCGCTTTTGACGCTCGATCCATGAACTCCATGGATGATTCTGAGAGTGGTGAACCCCCACCAGGTTCTTTTTACCACTCCGAGGGTTAGGATCAAGGGTTGATCTAGTGCGCCCGCCCGAAAGCGACTGCGCACATTTTATTCCTATTGCTTACCTCCAAAAACCCCTCTTCAAGTTCCTTCTGCTTTTGAATAACTGCAGCTATCTCTTGCTGCACAAGATTAACTGCACGGTATGAGTGCTGTTCATGAGTTGTAGAATGAACAGCGCCCATGACCAATGGCATTCTTCTCCGATCTGGGATGAAGAGGAGAGGAGCAGTTTGACCTATCCCTCTTCTCTGGATATCGGGACCTTTTCTTGTCCTTCGAAGACTCCCTCACTGACGCACTTGTGGCCTCCGACTCTTATCCTTGGCCCTATTCCTCTTGGCCATTTGTGCCAACTGGGTGGAGGATGAATCCTAGCTGGGGCACCTCCTCTTCCCTTCGTCTATCTCTTCTGTCATTGTTCATCCTCTTCTTCTTCTCAGTGGCCTTCGTACTCCCTTCATTTGAAGTTCTTCCGTATGTGTTGGATGTCCTCATCTTGTGCTTGTGGGTCGTCTTCTACCCGCTGTTCCCGTCGTATTGGGATTTTTTTGGGCTTAGATAGCTAGGCTTTCCAGAACTACACTCGGCTTTTCAGGAGGCAGGTATGTAGGCAGATGTATCATATGCTGTAAATGTTAACGGAACTCCATATGGAAACTTTGTAGGAGCTAGGGGAGTTTAGCAGGGGAACCCATTTTCGCCTTATCTATTTACTATTGTAATGTAGGGGTTCTCAAGGCTTCTTGATATTTATATATATATATGGGAAAGGGCTATAAGAAAAAAAGGACTCTACATTAAGGAGTTTGCAGTTTCAGACATACAAAAAGAAGGAACTCGACAAAGACATTCCTAATTGGGAAAGGCTATGGGGGATTCCAAATAGAGTAATAAGAAGTAAGACAGCTAAAAGCCATAAGGAAAAGGACAGCCAAGACTGACAGCTAACAACTAAGGAAAACTAACTATGATACTTGGAACCGGGGAATCTAACAAGAAAGAACTACTTGGTTTAACGCTGCTACTGTTACCCATGGGAGCCCTATAGATAAGATAGTAGGGCCTTGCTTCCTTGACCATCTTCCAAAGCTTGCATTCTCGGCATCAATGCACACACGGAAAGATCCGCCATCGAGAAATAAAATGAAAATTATAGGAACATAAAGGTTCAAAAGTTCTATCTCCTTCAGGCCTGATAGCTAAGAGTCTTCTTATGCCAACTAAATCACAAGAAAAAAATCACTAGTCACTCTCCACTATCTCCGGTGTCTTATCCTTATTTCTTTGTATTCGTTATCTGAAGCAGCGAGCTAGTTACCTTTCAAAGAGAAGATTCCTGTATCCACATCTACTTAAGTAGATTCGTAGCATCTGAGATTTCGTGGTATCGATCCCTCAGACAGTCATTCCGTATTGCTTTACTTCACTGCTATACTTCCGACTTGCTCCTTCAAATCAAAATAAGGTGGCTAAGACAGGGGCCTATTCCAACAGCTGGCAATCGGGCTACACAGGCCGGGGTGAACTCCCGGACTATGAGGAGTTTTTCGACCTGAAAAAAGAAAGGAACCCTTCTTCTCGTTTTCGACGGCCCGGCATGTTACCTTCCATGAGCACGAGTTCTTCTACTCCCCCTTATTTTAGTAGGCGCCTATTGGATCAGCATCTTCTGGATCTTCTTCACCAGTGCTTTTTCCTGCGCCTCCCGTGCATCAGGGGGAGTCAGAGTCCCAAGGGAATCAGGGTCGCAGCCCTCTATTGAGCAGCCAGCACTTGCACTTCGCTCTTCTAATAATAAAGAGCAGCCTGCATCTTTATCATCTTCTAGTAACGACCAGTTGCCTACGGATTCTCCTTCATCCTCTATCGCAGCAGAGCCATCTCCATCTCTGCGCTTGAATGGTTTTCCCCCGCCCTGCAGCAAAGGAAAAGTTCTTTCTTTAAATCGGCCCGGGACATTCGACGAAAAAAAAGGATGACCCGCCCTTTTATCCCCCCAAAAAGGCCGGATCCCCTATTTTTTTATAGGAAAATCTACCCGCCCCGAGGAAAAATATGTGTTCAGGAACGCTATGTGAATAGGGTCTTTAAGCCCTCACCCAGCATCTATTAATTCAACCAACATACGTTTCAAAAAGAATTTGAAAGCCGTATAGCCATTTCAGCCTTACTCCCTATTCTCTTTAAATAAAGCTATGAAAAAACTGGAGTAATGTGGAATGACTTTTCCCATTCCTGTGAGCTGTAGAGTTAGTTATCCCTTATCATCCTTGGTATTCCTCCTCTCTATGAGATGTGGGATCGACCCCACGAGCCCTTCCTGTTTCTACATCCTTTTGGATGATAAGGCACGCCTATCCATGTTTTATCCAGCCTTTGCTCTACTATCAACCACCGGAATGGTTATTTTGCCTGCCCCCGCTTTCCTCCCCGCGGGAAGAGCTCGTTCGCCAAGTCCGAACTCCCACTTTATCGTCGATGACGGCTCTCTTCGATGCTAGCAACCGCGTTTGACCTTTTTCCGCGCTTCTTTCAATTTCCTTACATTCTAGCTGAAGGAGAGACTTTACCTTTACTTAGAGAGGGACAGCGGTACCACGCCCTTCCGTGCTCGTAGGTTGACTCCCCTATGCATCCCGACTAAGGTCTCACAAACGCGCACTTCCCTTATGCATCCAGCCGCTTCACTAATGTGAATAGGTTATACAGAAGGGTGGGTTAGTTATATAATAGAGCGTTCTTTCTTCGAACCTTTTGGTATGTATTGCCTCCTAACTATAGATCAGATCCACCAGACGAGAAACTCAATTCCGCACTGCTGCTGAGTCGTCGGACTTATCCACCAAGAGATTCGTGGAATTTCTGTGGATTGCGTTGGGGGAAATCTACCAAAGCTAGGCAGATAGATAGACTCCTTTCCCGCTGCTAAGAGAAAGCAAGAAAAAAAATCAAATGATTGTTTTTTAATCAGCGCCCCCTTTTGGGTATGCAGATACTAAGAGTCCTCTCACTACCAACCAGCAGACATCATCTGGCTGGGTCTTGCCGGTATCAACAACGAGAAAAAAACAACCAAATGAAACAGCAACTAACTATGGCTCTTGGCCCAGACAACGCCCTAGGCGTAGGGGGGATCGGAGCAACAGGGAACGCCTAGACGACGTTTTTATTCCTGGGCAGCAGTAAGTAGATCGAGAGGTCGTTCCGCCCCTTGTCCCCGAAGATGGGTAATTTGTTCTCAATAAAAGTTGCTCCAATCTGACCTAGCTGGCGAGCGATCCCAGTTCGCGGCAGAGAACAAGACAGCAAGCGAGCGTACCTTTGTTCGCTTCTTCTCCACCAAGCACGGAAGTTTAAGGATAACTGTAGGTCGGTGGCTACCTAAGGAAACTCCGATTCGATCCGCCCCCCGGCTGGGAGGCATTTACCTCATCCCGATCACAAGGAGAGGTTCACCATGATGGGGGGTACTTCTTTTTTTTCCTTTTCGGAAAGAATGAAATGCATAGGGGACCATCCTTTTGTTGCGGCATGCTCCTCAGATTTACGGATTCGCAGGGGGCCTCAGGCCCTACTTAGTTGACTGACAATGACAAAGGCTTGCGAAACTAAGTAGGGCCTTTTGAATTGAATCTTAAGTCTATCAGTGGTGCGAAGCGGCTTTGCCCCTTTTCAGTAGGGGAGCGAAAGGTTAGACCTTAGAAAGTCAGCGAACAGCGGTTCTTCTATGTAGGTATGGCGTTCCCCCTTTACTTTCCTAACGTCGAGCTAAGTGACTTCGTAACCTTTGCGTAGCGTAGTAGAATGAAGGCTACGCACCGACGCTCTCTTATCTATTAGCCTAAGTGTCTTCGCTAACTCGCTCGCCTACTATACTATACCCTACTATACAAGACATTAGTAGGCTAGGCTAACTCAGCCGCTTACTTCTACTAATGTATTGTATAGTAGCGCCTTTTCCTTTTTGAATAACCCCATTCTCATTATCTTTCATAAGTAAAGTAGGCGAACCTATAGGTCCTTAGTAGCGTTGACAAAGAAAAGAAGAACAGCCGGTTAAAAGACAGCGAATCTTTTTATTTATATTATATATAGGCCAGCTTGACAAGCTACCCTTCCTCTTGATCTGAGGTGCGAAGAGAAACATTTCTTTTTTATGACTTCTACTTATCGATCCCGACCCGGAAAAGTGACCGACCAGGGCCCTTTTGATGAATGAAAGAAAAGGTTTATGAGCCCTAGCCCTGTAAGCCCACACCTGTGTAGAGTAGATCGTTCAACACCTGCGGCACAAACCCATTTTTTACCTATTGGTCCTAGTATCATAGGCGACCGAACGGCCGCCCCCTAATTACTAGACCGACCTGCTGTAATAATTCCATAAACACCTAGCGAAGATATGGCAAACAAATAAAGTAGCCCTATGTTCGAATCTGACAATACCATACCATAATCAAAAGGTACAACGGCCCAAGCGACCAGACTTAACATAAATGTAGCCACAGGAGCCATTCTAAAAAGGGAGAAATTAGCACTACTTGGTGAAATAGGTTCTTTTAGAATCAATTTCAAACCATCTGCTAGAGGTTGTAACAATCCGAACGATCCCACTACATCAGGACCCTTTCGACGTTGCACAAAAGCCATTACTTTACGTTCAGCTAGCACTAAAAAGGCTACTCCTAGTAAAAGTGGTAGAATTATTCCAAGTATTTCAGCTGGAACAGCTATGTACGTTTTCGATTTTATATTTACTCATGATCTGGCCTGGTCGACCCAATCATGATATTGAAGGATGGGACCTTTTCTCGAAAAACAAAACTCCGGATCCCGGGAAGAGTTGAAGATGGTGCAACATCGAATCCTGTTATCTTACTTCGAATGGAATCTTAGCCCGCCTCACTTGCTTTTTTTACTGCATAAGGGCATAAGCGAAATCAAGGGATTTCCTTCTAACTAGTGGCTGAGAGTAAGCAAGCTACCTTCATTCAACATATTTTTGGTTTGGAATCGATTCTTTATCAATGGCCCACCCTTTCTTTGAACCTTGTCAATGATCGAACTTAAAGATATGAACTGAGTGCCATTTGATGAGTAACTGAGAACAAGGGAGAGGGATATAGAAAGGATGAAGTAATGAAAGAGGAAGTCATTGCTAGTAGTAACGACTTGTTACGATCCATTGGTTCATATAGAATCCATGTCCTAGGTGTATCAAAAAACATTCTTTTCGCTAAGCGTATATAATAAAATAGAGTGAAAGGGTCCACCCCGAAACCAAGGGGGTACTAACTAACAGCTGAGTCCTCTCCGAACCGCAGGAGATAGTTGCCCATCATACGGCTCACCAACTTCACTTGCCTCTATGGGAGGCTCGCTCCGGGCAGGTTCGGATCACTTACAATACACAGCTCTACGAAGGAAGGGGTTGGGTTAGGAGCGTTTTCAATATGATTCTTTTCCCGTATTTGTTCGATCTCTTCCATCTCTGCCCCGCTCGTTGTTACCTATGTTGAAGAAAGGTTTGGAACCCTGTAGAGAATGAAGAGGAGCCAAGGATCTTCCTCTCAACAGTGCTTCTCGAGGCTCCACTCTCCCCCCTGAATAAGTAAGGCCCCGTTAGCCTGGGCGAAGATGGGGATAAGGAATAAGGATTGAAGCCCCCTTAGCTCTGCCAGGCACTGGACAGGGGTTAGCTCGGTAAATGTGTAGAGCCAAGTGTAGTGTGGTGTAGTAGTAGGCACTTCTAGACCCCTTCCCGGCTACTGGATCACTCCAGCGCTTTGGGTATTACGGACCCTCTGCCATCCATTGCAGCAGAGTCGTTTCATGAGCGGGGGGGCTAAGCGCACAGTTCTTTGAATCAAACGTTGAATGAAATCGATTCTTTTTTAGATATCAAAATCGAAATCGGATAGGATAGATGGATGGATCTATCTTTATATATATATATTAAAAAAAAAATGAATTTAGAGAGTTAAGTAGCGTAGCAATAAGCCCCAAATCCTTGATTTGGCCAGGAAAGACTGCACTGCTTTGGGCCCAGGAAGCGAAGGTAATGAGCTCGGCTGCTTCTCCTCCACACTTCTTTTTCTCCGTGCCCGCTCCGCATGCGCTTCGCGCGCCATTGGCGCTTTGCTCTCCTCTTATTCTTCATTGGACGGTTCGGATGGACTTCGCCGTTTTTTCCCAACTAAAATAGAAAAGGCTTTATCACATCGAGATGTCGATTCGTTTTCCGCCCCCAATGAGATGGGGAATTTTTAACCCCCTTTTTTGACTTTTTGGCCCTTCATCTTTCTGAATCGAGGCCCGGCCCGGCTCGCGTCGTTCCAACAACCGGCGGGGAGCACCTCAGTATATGATCGCGCGCAGTAACTGGGAGTCCTATTACACCTAAGGCTAACTTCAATTCACCAAACCAAGGTTCATCTCGTGTAATGATTGTGGACTCATACAAGGATATTGAGTAGACGGTTGATGTATCAGACTCGACCCTATCTTTCGTAGCATGCATTCCCATCCGTGTCGCAACTGATTCGGTAAGCTACGTGTCCGGTGCACGGAGAACTGCCTTCGGCCCCCCAAACTTACTTACTCGTGGCAACCTTCCGGCCGCCCAACAACCTATAACGCTAGTCACTACTCCCACTGGGGCTAGGAAGTAAGCCCCACAACCC